TAGCGGCATTCAATCATCTCGAGAGATTACGCGAAAGCTGCGTCACACTGTGGTGCCTGAGAGCCATGCGAGCGTACGAGACAGCACTACGCACTCTGGAGAAACGATTTAGTTTGACAGAGTTTATCGGGTGTGTTACCCTGACGACGCGGGATGGTCCACCGCACCTAGAATATAAGGAGTACCGAACAAGCGTGGTCAGCATGCCTGGCGGCCTTTATGCGTACCTAGAGGCACTCGATAATACGTGGGAAACCTATACACCCCACGACATTTACAACGATGAGGATGGGGAGTACGCTGAAGGATCGAATAATTTGGCGTACTACGCAATGGACACACGAACAGCATCCCGGCGCAACATCAGGCATATACGGTGTACGGCAATTTTTCGCGACGAGAGCTGCGAAACACTGCTGCGGGATGACCGTCACGGAAAAGATATCAGCGTACAGCTTATCGGTGGTGATATCCATGAGTTCGATGTTGTAAAAGACTGGTGTGATCTGCTGGCACCAGTTGATTGTAATTGATAAATATAAATAAAGTAAAAAAAAACCTATGTGACAGAGTAGTATGATTCGTATCTCTAACCCTACACTACGATGGCGAGATGCTGATGCAACCTCGAACGGTGTACGTCAGCAGATCGCTGCAGCTCCCAACGCAACACCTCTATATCGTTTTTTCCGTATTATGAATACGCCGTATTTCATGATCGGCGAACGAGCGACCAATAATACATAATTTATTTTACGATTAAATCTTTTCTATCCGATTTTCTACGAATAACGATCCTATAAGAAAACCGTGACATTTTTTGCTGATTCAGCTGTATCGTATAGTATTGTTTTGAAATTAATATCGCCGCGGCTGTAAGACGTTCGCGGACCAGCCGTAGTCTATTTTAGTTCGTATCACAACGTCTTGGCGGTTAGTCTGACCACTTAGAGCAATCACCAGCTCTAAGCAAAGAAAAAAAAAATGTCATCCTTGGGAAATATTCGCGATTGTATCCTCGATTTCGTCAAGACACGTCGCTTGAATATACCTAGAAACCCGAGATTATTTTCACCGGCGTGGTGTCGCGAGTTAAGATATTTCGGTTTTCGCACGCTAACGCGTAGATTGAAAAGTGTCTTTACCCATTGTACTCTGCGTGTGCTAGCCGGGGGTCATGAAAGAGGATATTTCAAAAATGATCCGTACATACTTTCGTTAGCCGTAGCATGTATCAGTAAACGCGGAGTGCGCGACAGCCACATCACCAGGGCTATTATAAGCGATCATCGATTCCACGAAGGTATGTATCTGTCACTTACCAGTAATAGCTCCTACATAATTTGCCTTTTTCAAAAAAAAATAAATAAATTTTACAAGAATTGACGCGCTTTCACCACGAAGTAGCCCCAGAGGAGGAGGAGCAGTTGCTCTTAGGGTCCCTCGATCATATAGAAGAGGTTTACCCGGAGCACAGCACCAGCACGGCGACGGTGATGCAAAATGCTAACGGTAAAACATACTTTAAAAAAAAAAAGATTACGTCTAATTTACGTTTTATTAAAAAAAAAGTAGCAGGTCCATCGACAGCGCTGGACGTGCAGATGATGGAGGAGGAAGAAGAAGAAGAAGAAGAAGAAGAGGGCGAAGAATCGCTTCACAATACGTGGGGTATGCGTTAAACAGTATCGGAAGCAAAAGGAGAAAAAAACAATGCGATCTTCTTCATAATTTTTTTTACAGATGAAATCATGTCGATAGCATCGGCCGCTAGCGATCGCAGTGTCTACGGCGATGATGATGATGACCGCTCCACCATGTCCAGCGCTTCTAACGAGCGCTATCGATGTAATAATTATAAATTAACAGACACCGTTGACAACTCATCTGTGTGAAAATAAAAAGTAAAAAAAAAGTTGTAGATCCGTTGGAGGTTGCTGGCTACGATAACCATATTGCACCGGACAACGCACGGCCTCCGCAGGAGCACGACGACGCTGAAGAACCGGTGCTATGGGTTCGTAGGAACGGCGTGTACGAGGTAGCGGATGCCGACGAAGCGGCCGATACATTGGCGGGGCGCGATGGGGCCCCGAGCGCAGCGGACAGATCTTACACGCACGAGGCAGAGCATAAGTGCTCCAACAAATGCGCTAGATGCTTCGGAAAACCACCTTGCGATTCGGCCTCCCCACATTGCATTGTCGCGAGTGCCATAGGTACTTTTTCGGTGAAAGTTGTTTCGATAATCACATAAACACGTTGATTAGTAAACAGAAGGGAAAAGAAAAGTGTGTGCCAGACCGTTCGCAGCTATCCGCAATGTCTTAGACCTCTTCAAGTAACGTCTCGTAAGCACTCTTGCGATAAGGTGTATCGCAGCGTCTGCAGAAGTGTTAATGTCTAATGTCTAAAGTTAATGTTAATGTCTAAAGTCTACCGCTGAAAAAAATATTCTGTACATCTTCTACGATTTTGAAACACAGCAGATACAGAAACTGCCCGGTGACGACGCAGTGCGTATCCACACCCCAAATCTGTGCGTCGTTCAGCAGGTGTGTACAGCGTGCATAAATGATACAGATCTCGCGAGGGTGTGCCCGTTTTGCGGTGTACACGAGTACATCTTCAAAGAGGACCCTGTAAGGCAGTTTGTAGATTTCGCGTGTGATCCTAAAAGAAAATCGTTTCAGCGTGTGATCTGCGTGGCGCATAATGTCAAGGGTTTCAACGCGCAGTTTGTACTACGGTATATCGTGAAGCGTAGAACAAAAAGCCTAAAGCCGCCGATGCTGCTACTCAGCGGTACGAGCATCATAATGATAATTATTTTCATATGCCGTTGAGTGCACTACCGAAAGCCTTCGGCCTCGTGGATGCGGTTGGTTTGAAACAAAAGGGCGTCTTTCCACACCTGTTCAATACACCTGAGAATCAGCATTATATCGGCCCGTTGCCAGTGCTCGAGTTTTATTCGCCCAATACGATGTCGTCGGCTTAGCGTTATCAGTTTTTAGCATGGTATAACGAGCAGTGCTCTGTGGGATACGTATTTAACTTTCGAACCGAGTTTATAGATTACTGTAGATCAGACGTTACCATTCTCAGGCAGGCGTGCGTTTCTTTCCGCGAAATGTTTCTTCAGCATGGCAACGTTTGCCCTTTCTCGGAGAGTACCACTATAGCCTCGGCGTGCTCGAGAGTTTTTCGGAAAAACTTTTTGCGGGACGAGGAGATAGCTATTTTACCGCCGGGTGGGTATCGATACGGTGACAAACAATCACGTAAGGCCATCTTATGGCTTCTTTCGCTGGAGCATCGTTTGGGTTGTGCCATAGTTCACGCAGGGCGCACT